ATCATAAAACAGTCAGTTTAGAACCTAACCACTCAGGCAGAAACCTTACCCACTTAGGCAGAGTCATAAAACAGTCAGTTTAGAACCTAACCACTCAGGCAGAAACCTTACCCACTCAGGCAGAGTCATAAAACAGTCAGTTTACAACCTAACCCAGTCAGGCAGAAACCAAACCCACTCAGGCAGAGTCATAAAACAGTCAGTTTAGAACCTAACCACTCAGGCAGAATCATAAAACAGTCAGTTTAGAACCTAACCACTCAGGCAGAAACCTAACCCACTTAGGCAGAGTCATAAAACAGTCAGTTTAGAACCTAACCACTCAGGCAGAAACCTTACCCACTCAGGCAGGGTCATAAAGCAGTCAGTTTAGAACCTAACCACTCAGACAGAATCATAAAACAGTCAATTTAGAACCTAACCCAGTCAGGCAGAAACCTATCCAAGTCAGGCAGAATCATAAAACAGTCAGTTTAGAACCTAACCACTCAGGCAGAAACCTTATCCACTCAGGCAGAGTCATAATACAGTCAGTTTAGAACCTAACCACTCAGGCAGAAACCTTACCCAGTCAGGCAGAGTCATAAAACAGTCAGTTTAAAACCTAACCACTCAGGCAGAATCATAAAACAGTCAATTCAGAACCTAACCCAGTCAGGCAGAAACCTAACCCACTCAGACAGAGTCATAATACAGTCAGTTTAGAACCTAACCACTCAGGCAGAAACCTTACCCACTCAGGCAGAATCATAAAACAGTCAGTTTAGAACCTAACCACTCAGGCAGAAACCAAACCCAGTCAGGCAGAGTCATAAAACAGTCAGTTTAGAACCTAACCACTCAGGTAGAAACCTTACCCACTCAGGCAGAGTCATAAAACAGTCAGTTTAGAACCTAACCACTCAGGCAGAATCATAAAACAGTCAATTTAGAGCCTAACCCAGTCAGACAGAAACCTAACCCAGTCATTCAGAATCATAAAACAGTCAGTTTAGAACCTAACCACTCAGGCAGAAAGCTTATCCACTCAGGCAGACTCATAGTACAGTCAGTTTAGAACCTAACCACTCAGGTAGAAACCTTACCCACTCAGGCAGAATCATAAAACAGTCAGTTTAGAACCTAACCACTCAGGCAGAGTCATAATACAGTCAGTTTAGAACCTAACCACTCAGGCAGAAACCTTACCCACTCAGGCAGAGTCATAAAACAGTCAGTTTAGAACCTAACCACTCAGGCAGAAACCTTACCCACTCAGGCAGAGTCATAAAACAGTCTGTTTAGAACCTAACCACTCAGGCAGAATCATAGAACAGTCAGTTTAGAACCTAACCACTCAGGCAGAAACCTTATCCACTCAGGCAGAGTCATAATACAGTCAGTTTAGAACCTAACCACTCAGGCAGAAACCTTACCCAGTCAGGCAGAGTCATAAAACAGTCAGTTTAGAACCTAACCACTCAGGCAGAATCATAAAACAGTCAGTTTAGAACCTAACCCACTCAGGCAGAGTCATAATACAGTCAGTTTAGAACCTAACCACTCAGGCAGAAACCTTACCCACTCAGGCAGAGTCATAAAACAGTCAGTTTAGAACCTAACCACTCAGGCAGAATCATAAAACAGTCAGTTTAGAACCTAACCACTCAGGCAGAATCATAAAACAGTCAGTTTAGAACCTAACCACTCAGGCAGAAACCAAACCCACTCAGGCAGAGTCATAAAACAGTCAGTTTAGAACCTAACCACTCAGGCAGAGTCATAAAACAGTCAGTATAGAACCTAACCACTCAGGCAGAAACCTTACCCACTCAGGCAGGGTCATAAAACAGTCAGTTTAGAACCTAACCACTCAGGCAGAATCATAAAACAGTCAATTTAGAGCCTAACCCAGTCAGACAGAAACCTAACCCAGTCAGGCAGAATCATAAAACAGTCAGTTTAGAACCTAACCACTCAGGCAGAAAGCTTACCCAGTCAGGCAGAGTCATAAAACAGTCAGTTTAGAACCTAACCACTCAGGCAGAATCATAAAACAGTCAGTTTAGAACCTAACCACTCAGGCAGAGTCATAATACAGTCAGTTTAGAACCTAACCACTCAGGCAGAAACCTTACCCACTCAGGCAGAATCATAAAACAGTCAGTTTAGAACCTAACCACTCAGGCAGAATCATAAAACAGTCAGTTTAGAACCTAACCACTCAGGCAGAATCATAAAACAGTCAGTTTACAACCTAACCACTCAGGCAGAAACCAAACCCACTCAGGCAGAGTCATAAAACAGTCAGTTTAGAACCTAACCACTCAGGCAGAGTCATAAAGCAGTCAGTTTAGAACCTAACCACTCAGGCAGAAACCTTACCCACTCAGGCAGGGTCATAAAACAGTCAGTTTAGAACATAACCACTCAGGCAGAATAAAAACAGTCAATTTAGAACCTAACCCAGTCAGGCGGAAACCTAACCCAATCTGATAAGTAGTGTCTGGAGTATAAATATCAAAATACTAGTATATCATTGAATAAACAACTGGTTCTTTATATGCAACAATTGGTCTTGTTAAAGCTGAACACAACTCTTAAATAGGCTTAATTAAGCCATATTATTTTTCTTGTTTCCTATGTCAGCACTGGAACCCACACCTGACTAATTTAACCTGGTCACTGTTGGGTGTAGTGCATGTATTTTTTTGTTTACATTTTGTTTTATTGAGGGTGCATTTATGTTTATTTTACTTTGTAATGCATTGACCAGTGCAACTGACATCGAATATCTTTGGTAATTATTTTTCTTGAAGTGGCAGAGGCACACAGATGTCATTTCTGTTGTGCCCAAGTCCATCATAATGACATGAAAGAGATGTCTGTTCAGGTAAACTCTGTAAAGCTAAATACATTGAACATGTTTTCTGTGCTTTCTACATCTTTATTCTTAAATTCTCCCATATCATTCTTGAGGTGTTGATTTCTCAAAGTTCAATTTTCACCATTTAAGGACAGTGCAATTATAGACTTACTCTGTTGTCCAATCCACTCAGTATATTTGTATTTTATATTTCACTTTATAATCACAATTCGTGTGTATAAAAAGGAAGTTTTTTTTTTTTAAATCACCACCTTTTTCTTTAATTTGAACTGAAAATGAACACAAGAAAATCTACAGAAGTTCATAACTTTATTGCTTTCAATCCGTTTTGTATTCTCTGTGTACATTACTACATCATTCATCAAATGAATTATAAAGGCCTAAAACAATGAAATTACAGTCAAACTTTGATACCTCGGACTCAACGGAACTGAGAAGAAACTTGGAGGAATTGAGAGACCAATGATGAAATATAAATACAAAAAAGTGACTGAAACTTCCAAATCACTTTGAATTATCCATGGTATTTGAGATATCAGTGTTCAAAATACTGAAGTTCAACTGTACTTAGAGTTCCCTTAATCCCCCAGTCTAGGTTCTTAATGAAGCAAAATATAATCTAACAAACATGTAGTAATGTGACTGAGGTTACATCAAATTCTTCAAATAATAAACAACATAATATTATACAGTTATGGAATGGGTATGAGGGAAATAGCAAATTTATGGTTCCCCAAGGGAGGAAACTATTTCCCGAGGCAGCGAAGCCGCCGAGGGAAACAGTTTCCTACCGAGGGGAACCATAAATTTGATATTTCCCAAGTACCCATTCCATAACTGTTTTATTATACCGAAACAATCATGGGAGATTTATTAAACTAGAGACTCAGACATTTTTAAAAACAATACAGAGGTATTTAAATAATCACAATTGCATATGATCAAAAATATTGTAAGATAACTAATGCATCAATACCGAGGAAAATAGAATTATTAAAAAAAATATAAAATAATTTCACTGACACTTCGAAGGATTATTGTTGCCTTCATTTTGCTAGAATATTTCAGTATGATTTTGACATCGCATGTCGAAATGTTTTGACGTCATACTTACATTGCTAATAACATTACGTCACAGACTCGAGATTCCTTGAATGCTCCGCCCACTGTTCATTTTAATTGGTTAAAATTATTAATATTCATGAGGGAGTAGTCCCAGGGAGTAGCTCCGATTTTTCAGGGAGTAGTCCTCAGATGAGGGAAATAGTATCTTCTCAGGGAAATAGACAGTTTTATGGTATTAATTTTATATAGAGTAATAACAGTAGAGGTATAATAATAAAATCTACAGCACAATGTTCTCTGTGTACACTTCTATATCTTTCATTAGAATGGATTATATAGGCCTAAAATCAGTAGAATTTCGTGTTAAATGCTTCAGCCAATTTCCTTGAACAAAGTTGCCCATGTGGCACAGTAGTAAGAGCGTCCGCTCTAGAGTCACAAAGTAAGGAGTTGATCCTTACGTCATGGGTTCGAATCCCACTGTGGGACGTGGATACCAGTCCTTCGGATGAGACTGTATAAACCAAGGTCCTGTGATACAGTAGGTGCTGACACAAAAAAGATCCCTCACTGCTCAATGGCCCCGAGTGCTGAGTATAGGTCAAAATTTGCAGCTCTCCACCAGCAAGTGGTGGCGTCTCCATATCAGTGAAAAATTCTCAAGAGGGACATTAAACAACAAACAAACAAACAAACGATCAAAGTCTTTATGTACATGAAAATAATTAAATTATGAAAACAGAGCTTCTAACAAAATCTTCTATGAAATATACATGATGTAATACAAGAATTATATCTACAATACAACACACATGCACACATACATCTTTAACAATGATATGCTATACTATATACAGTGTTCAGTTTGTTTTACAATGTAAAGCTAATCTCAGCATCTTCTTAAAAATTATTGACAGGCTGGTTTCTTTCAAGCACTGGCACCAAGTGAAAAGAAGACGTTCACAGTAGGATTTAAACATTAATTAGCCCCAAAAAATGCAGATCAACAAGAGACAAGTATAAATCTAGTACAATAATACTGATTGTGCATCATAAAGTGATATACATGTCACTGACATTGAAGAACAATAAATTGCATAAACACAATGAAAGTGCTGAAATTTTTAACTACATTTGATTTACAGCGAGTTGGCAATAAATAAACAAAACATTTCACTAAAACATAAAGTCTCAATCGACTTATGGACCTGAATTTTTTTACACTACAATGATTATAAATATAGACTGGTGACTAGAAACCAAAATGTCTTAGATTTATACATAAGACTTATACATAGAATAGTGTAGCTAATCTTTCTGATCAAATTCTACAGCTGCATGCAGAGAATATGACAGATGATTTGGTGACAATAATTGACCTGCATGCCAACACTTTCACTGAAAGGGAGTGAATATTCCCTCGTAAGTGCAAACATGCTATATGTACATTTGCAATGCAACTGATTTGTTGTTTGTGATCTTAGTTAATCATACTTATAAGTTAAATTATAGACATTTCTATTTTAAAACATCTTTTATTCCTGTCCTCATATGTCAGGCCAGTACTGTGGCAAACTAAATTTGTAACAGCTTCCTTTAGTATCACAAATGGAAGGCACTTGTGTCTCATTCTGAAAAAAAAGGAAAAATTTCAATATAATAATATTCTATATATATATATATATATATATATATATATATATATATATATATATATATATATATATATATATATATATTAGGGATGTCAACGAGTACCCTGTTAACTGGGTACTCGATCGAACGTCCGAATATCGAATACTAAAAATGGTACTCGGTTACTCGGATATGTATTTTTTCTTATTTCAATGTACATATTTTTTCAAAAACTTATCAAAAAATAACTTAAATATGCATATGGGTAATTAGCGTGTCATCATCTACACATGTAAACACCCAATATAGCCTATGGCTGTGTATATACAGTAATTAGTGACCAATCACCTGGTACACAGCTGTTCTCACCTATTGTGGTCCTTAATTTTTTTATGGCTTCCATGATTGTTTTTCAGTGAACATTGTTTAATATGGACTATTATCTTCAAATCATTTTTACATAATTTAGTTAATATACGGCGGCGAAATCGGACATGCATAGAAATGCCCCTACCCACTTCAAAATGAGTAAAGATTTAAAAAAATGTTTAAAGTCAGTTTCCATAGTAAGTTTAGTGTATACAGGGGAAACAACCAACATATGAAAAAATATTAGACTAGCGATCCAAACAACATCCGTTCCTTCTCTTTCGCTAGTCTAATCATCACAAATCTGCATAACAGATTGTCCTCCTTTTGCATTGATGAAATAGATCCTAAACAAGAACTGTAAACTATCTGTAATTTTGATGTATTAATTGCGTCATTTGTGTTAATTTAATAAATAAATTTAGTACCAAAAATCATTTCTGTTGGACTCCATGTTTACATACATTCATAAAAAGCGATAAAAACAGCTTTGGGGTTTAACAAATTAACAATTAAAAATTAACAAACTTGTATTTAAATATATATATATATATATATATATATATATATATATATATATATATATATATATATATATATATATATATATATATATATATTTGTGTCTGCTTTCCTTTGATACCAAATACAAGAGACCCATGGGCCACATTGCTCATCTGAGCACATTGGCTAAGAAAAAGCACAAATCAGTTTAGTATTGAATAGTATTTGATTCCCCATTGTGGCCCAACCCTGGCCTAACCCCAGGGGTTATCATTTGAACAAACTTGAATCTACACTACCTGAGGATGCTTCCAAATCAATATGACTGATAATGGCTTTAATGTTCTTGAAAAGAATACCGGTTATTTTTAAAGATTCATTCTACCCCCGGGGATTATCATTTGAACAAACTTGAATATAAACTATGTAAAGAAAGTTTCCTATAAGTTTGAACTTTTTTGGTCAAGTGGTTCTTGAGAAGAAGAATTTTAAAGATGCCACCACATTTTCACTTTTTCTGAAATATCTTCCCTTGAAAGAGGACATGGCCCTTCATTTGATCAAACTTGAATCCCCTTTACCCTAGGATGCTTAGTGGCAAGTTTGGTTGAAATTGGCCCAATGGTTCTGGAAGAGAAGTCGAAAACGTGAAAAGTTTACGGACAGAAGACAGACAGACTACAGATAAAATGTGATCGAAAAAGCTCACTTGAGCTTTCAGGTCAGGTGAGCTAAGAAGTATATGTAAGGAAAAGTCCTGAACTTCTATAATTTTCTTGGATGTTCTTAAATAGAACAGGACAGGACATCTACTGCATAAATGTATCAGAAGGAATAAACTTCCAAACTTACCAAGAAAAATCAATCAAGATCCTTTCCAGTTCTTCATTTTCATAGTTAAAAAGAACTCTGCTCCAAAAACTTAACCTGGGACACCAACACCAATGCTGAGGGTATCACATAAGGTTCCCCAATTTCGTTGAGTTGAGCTAAAAACTAAGAAATGACTTTTTGTATTATATTCTATGACATTTCTTGTATAAGTATCTCATTCAATTTCAATTACATCATTTACAATGATATATTATCATAGGTGAATAGCAGAGGGGAATAATTTCTCTCAGTAGAATATAAATTAATGAAGCCCAGTTCAAGCCCTGCCCCAAACCCGGACACTTGACCAAGTGTTCCAAAATTTAAAACATTTGTTAAAAATGCCCTTGCTCAACACAACTTTGTACTCTTTTTGTCTCCTAGTTGCCCAGGAGCATAGATGAAGATTTTCAAAGAAATAACGATGTTCAGATTCCACACAGCCCCACATAAACACCAAAAGACCTGACTCAGGGGGCTATTATTTTCATAACTTTAAAAGAGGTATCCTTGCTCAACATAACCATACCATTCATTTGTCTGCTTAATACCACTAGGTAAAGAAGAAGATACTTAGAAAATTTATGCATTTCACTATCTTACCTAAAGAACACCTAAACACTCTGACCTAGATTGGGCCATGAAATTCACCATTTTGAAAGAGGCACCTTTGCTCATCATAACTATGCTTTTATTTTTGGTTAGCTCAATATCCAGGTGCAGAAATGAAAATTTCCAAAGATATATTGCATCTATATATACTTTAATAGGCCCCCAAAACACCAGAACCATTGACCTTGGAGCACCACATTTAACAATTTTAAAAGAAGTTTCTTGCTCATCAAGCACTAAATTCATGTGCTAAATACCCAGTAAAACCTCACCCTGACACCAGAACCCCTGACTTTGGAGCCACTTATACTTAGATTACCCAAGAGCAAAGAAGATTTTCAAAGAAACACATACCGGCACACAAGCATCAATAAAGCCCCACCCTAACATCAGATCCCCAGGGCCTGGGGTCAAGAATTTTACAATTTAAGTAGAGGTGCCCTTGCTTATTAGAACCATGCACCTAGTTTACCTGATAAGTTATACAGAGAGGAGAAGGTTTTTAAAAAGAATTTATCCATTTTCATTATATGATCATTAGAGCTCTGCCCTAACTCCAGAATCCCTAACCCTCCTTCATGAATTTCAAAGTTTTGGTAAGGGCTCAGTGCTTATTACAATCATGCCAACAGTTTGACTGCCAGATGTCCAGGAGTTATGATGAAGATTTTGAAAGATAGCACTAATTTTGATGGTTCAAACTCCACCCCTCAGTCCCCAGGGGGAGGGGGGGAGTGACCATGAAATTCAACATTTTTGTACCCCTTCACTTATTAATGCTATTCCAAAATTAGTTGAAATTGGTTCAAAGGTTCAAGAGAAAAAGCTTAAAAAAAGACCTATAGTTTATGACCAACAAATGACACACATCCACAGAAAAGTGACTCAGGTGACCTAAAAATATATTTCTTTGTACATAACTTGTCTCCTAATGCGGTCTTATCCTATATGGGGGTCATGATTTGCATAAATTTGAAACTGCACTACTTGAGGATCCTTGCTTATTAGACTTCCTTAACAAAGCCAAGCTGCTCTTTAGAAAAAAAAAGATTTATAAGTATTTTTCCTATATATATGTATTCCTGTGTCAAATCTTTCCTGATCCTAAATTCTGGGACCACAGTTTGAACAAATTTGAATAGATCTACTCTTTTGTCTAATCCTAATATAAACTCCTTTAGTTGCATGATAGGCTTCTTGATTGTAAACATTACCTTTTATGCACTATAGCTACATATAATCAGTACAATATAAAACAAGAGGCCCATGAGCCACAATGCTCATTTGAGGAATACAACCCTTCTTCATCAACAGATTCTTTTTCCTGTACATATTCCTACTTAAAATTTGATATCATATTGTAGCCCCACCCTTTTCCCAAGAGTCATGATTAACAAACTTGAAATTACACACCCGAGGATGCTTCCATGTAATCATGACTAATCATGACTTTGCTTGAGAAGATTTATACAGATTTTTCCTATATATTTGTAGGTAATACTTTCATCCTCTACTGTGTCCCCACCCTACCCCCAGGCATCATGCTTTGAAAAACTTGAATCTAAAAAAGTTGTTGTGGGTGCTTTATTGTCAATATGACTAATCATGCCTTTGCTGTTCTTAATACAAAATAAGATTTTCCCTATGTATTCCCATGTAAAACTCTTGATTGCCCGCACTTGCCCCACCATACTCCCAGGGACATGAATTGTATAAAACTTATTTTATTCTATGTCAGGAAGCTTTTACTTGGGTTTCGTATTTTCAAGCCTAGTGGTTCTTAAGAACATTTGAACAATTGTCACAATCAAAATTTAATCCCGATTATTGTTTTATTTATGTTTATGATTTTTTTTTTTCCTTTACGGGACCTCTTTATTCTGTTACCTGTAATGAACCTCAAATTTAGAAATTGCAGGCATTGGTCAGTTACAGTCTATTGTATTTAGAGTATTTAAATCGCTGCATTGCTGACCAGGTAGCCGGGGTCCACGTTTTCATACTTTTTACATGCTTGACGTACAATCCAAGATGTGTAGATAGGTAGTTTTTACAACGGTAACCATTTCTCCATGAGGGGTAAGTTAAATTTTCTTATTATTTAGTATTTTGATATTGCATTAAGATTTGTTAACTTTGTAAGAAAACGGGTTAAGTAATGTTTTTGTTACTGTTTACGTATACAAGTTTTGCTGAGTAGAGTTACTCATGCGTGTAATGTTCTGGTTTTGTGCATGTACTAAGTTATGTACGCACGCAATGCATTTTGGTTTTTTTGCCGCTTATACAGTCGGTGTCGTGGGTTTAGTTGTTAAAACCACTTTTGTTAAGAAATTGTGTATTCTTAACGCTGTCTACATATATAACAGTGTTTGGTTAGATTTACTGTTTGTACGGTGTGCCATTTGTGCAATGATAGTCAATGGTGACTAGTCTTTTTTTAAAGGTATACGTAACCTGTGACTTAAAAATGTTATTTAATTTAAAGGTTCCTGATAAAATCCTGATAATATCTAGTCATGTGTGTGTTGGCAATGACGTTCAACAGACCGAAGACCCACTGGGAGCCAGTTGGCGGGAGTCCGTCGTGAAACGGGGCGTGTCTGGACGTATGCGTGGTTGTGAGCAAACACCAGAATGACGTGGATTGAAAGAGACTTTTAAGATATACATATTGTAAATTATAACTGTATAAATATGGTGTAAATATTGTTAATACTGATTTTATTTATATATATAAAAAAAATGTAAATAGAAAAAAAAATCTTGTTGTGTCTGACTGAACAGAACACGACGGCTGTCGTGACAACGATCATACCAAATTTTTACTGTTTCTTAATTATCTCTGCTGGGAAGAGATGTGGTCCTTCGTCAGAATGAATTTCCTTTACCAAAGCATGCTTTGTACGAAGTTTGTTTGAAATTGACACAGTGGTTCTAGAAAAGAAGGTGAAAATGTGAAAAATTATGAAGGAGATGGACAAATGCACAAATTTTGATCAGAAAGAGCTCACTTGAGCCTCCAGCTGATATGAGTTAATGCTAAATAGAGATGTTAGTGTGAAATAATTAATTCAGGAGCTAATTGAATTAGATCCCTCTTCCTTAAAACTTTGATCATTTTTTGTGGTCCCATCCTACCCCAGGAGATCTTGAATTGAACAAACTTCAATCTACACTACCTGAGGATGCTTCCCCCACTTCTGCCCCACTCTACACCCCGTGGTCATGATTTGAGCAAACTTCAACCTACACAACCTGAGGATAATTCAATATAAATATGACTGATCATTAGTTTGCTGTTCTTGAGAAGATTTTTAAAGATATTTCCTATATATTTCTATTTATAAATTTGATCCCCTGTTGTGGCCCCATGGCTAAGCTGTGCTTAAGATGAATATTCTTTAATGAGTTTTCCTATATATACCTATGTAAAAATTGTTCCCCTGTTGTGACCCCGCCCTGAAAAAAATAAGGCAGAACATTCAAGAACTTAATGAAAATTGTGGACTTCCTGATACCACATCAGAGCGGAAGGACATGCCAGATATAATAATGCCACCTTCAGTGCCATTGGAATAACCCCATTCCAAGCTGCCACCAATGTGACTTATACCACAAGTGAAAATGTTACTCAGAGGAAAAATGTTGTGGCAGTGTTGTGTGGGAATAAACTATGCAAGAAAGGCAGACACCTGAGAAGCAAAGGAAAGGAAGTTATCTGCCTAAGACACGAAGACTGCACTGCAACCATTCCTCCAGAGGCCACCACTGAAGATGAGAAGAGATGGGCTGCAAAATGGTGAGTTACAAAGTGATGACCGTCCACTAGTCATTTCCCATTTCACCAGTGATGGAGATGGAGCAGCTGCATCTGGTGAATCTGAAAAACAAGGACATGTCATTGAAAACCTTAAAGACTTGCATCATTTCTTTGACTCTCAAAGACAACAGAAGAAATGCAAAACTGCGAAAAATCCAAAACTGTTAAAATGCATGTACTGTATATATCTCAAAGAAAATACTGTAGATCTAAAAGATATCAGCTCTACAATAAAACATAGGTAATCAAAGATTACATAACTCAACTCAATGAATGTTTGTGTAAGGCAAAGTCCCACACTAAACAAATAACCTAGTAGTGTGCATCCCTAGATGCAACATTTATGCAATTTTGCTCTGATAGGGCTTTACAGTTACTTGGGAATGGACTAATCTAAGAACTTTTAACTTGCCAATTATCCAGAAATCCAGCATCTGAAGCAAGTTTGAGAATGTTCATCCCTTGATGCATCATCCTTGCAAGTTCGGTTCAGAAAGGCCTTATAGATTCTTGGTAATGGACCTGAACCAAAAACTTTAACCTGGTCACTCATCTGGAATATGTAGATCAAATCAAGCATCTGAAGCAAGTCCAGTAGTGTGCATCCTTAGATGTATCATCCATGCAAGTCGGGTCAAGGTACAGCAAATAGTTACTTTAGAATGATCCTGCTCCAAAAACTTTAACCTGGTCACCCATCTGGAAAACGTAGGTCAGATCCAGTATCCGAAGCTAGCCTGGTAGTGTGCATCCTTAGATGTATCATCCATGCAAGTCTGGTCAACATGGGTCTATAGTTACTTTAGAATGAACCTGTTCTATAAACTTTAACCTGGTCACTCATCTGGAAAATGTAGGTCAGATCCAGCATCTAAAGAAGGGTGGTAGTTAGCATCCTAAGATGTATCATCCATGCAAGTTTGGTCACGATAGGGCTTATAGTTACTTGGAAATGAGACCTGCCCCAAAAACTTTAACCTGCTCCAAAATCTTCAACCTGCTTTAAAAACATTAACCTGGTCATCTTTTAGCTGAAATTGCAGCATCTGAAACCTTGACTGGTACAAAGAAACACACTATAAACATCTTCCATGCAACTCTGATTTATGTAAGGCATAGAAGTGCTGAAAAAGAAAACTGCTGCAAAAACTATAACCTGGGACGCCGGAGGTATCACATAAGCTCCCCCAACTTCTTTGAGGTGAGCTAAAAATCTAAAGACACTTACAGTAAATCAGTAACAGATTCAATATTAAAAAGGAAGTTGTGTGAAAAGGGAGGGGGGGGGGGGGAGGGAGGGGAGTGGGGGCATTGATGCTGTGTATTTAATTTAAATGTATGAATTTTGTAATTAATAAATAATTTGTAAATTTATAGACTATATAATAATTGTTGTTATGTTTTATTATGCACTGATTCTATTCAACTGTGTAAATGGGGAAAATGTGGAAATGTAAATGATGTATAATTGTATGAGTAAAATGTGACATTTTCTTATATGAGGGAGTCCATACATGTAAAACTGTTTTAATTTTATCTTATTAAAATTATTTTAATTAATTATCTTGTTTTTCTTACCTATCTGATGAATACAACAAAGGTTACAGAGGTGATTGGTAGAAATACGGGTGTCAAAACTCTCTGTTGATGACCAGACAGCATACTGCATTGTATATCCGCCATTACTGATCTTAAACATGGGAGACAACTCCTGAAATCAGAGAAATTGTAGTCAAAATGAGAGTTACCTGTTACTCTTTAGGTCCGACACAATGAAATAATTTCACTACATGTTACTATATAGCCTCAATTAAATTAATTAATTAACTAAGACTCTAAGCAGATAATCAATGAAAGAGAAAATAAAGATTAATGCTTAAACAAACAAGAGGCCCAAGGGCCTTAACGGTCACCTGAGTACAATACAACAATTTAGAGGATCCATAAACTGATAAATGAAGCTCTGTTGCCCAAAAGCAAGAAAATAGTATGATTTGCATCAACAAAATAATTGGTCTAGTATCTATCTGTCCCCCATTTATCACTATTACCATGCAGAATATCAACAAACTGTCTATTTTTTAACCCCATATTTTTACTTCTCACATTGGCCTCTCTTGGCCTTTGAAGAACAATTAAAAAGGATAAGTTATTTTTGTCTCAATTTTATTCATCTATTATTTCCAAGTCTACCTGGGGCCATGAATTTCACAATTTTGGAAGAGGCATTCTTCCTTATAACCATGCACTTCCTTTGTTTGAAAAATACCCAGGAGTAGAGAAGAAAATTTTGAAAAAATTTATGCATTTTCCCTATATAATCAATATAGCCCCGCCCTTACACTAGAACCCCTGATCCAGGGGCCATGAAATTCACAATTCTGGAAAAGGCAACCATGCTTGTCATAACTATGCACCAAGTTAGTTTATTTAAAATCCAAGAGCAGAGAAGATTTTCAAAGAACTAATGCAATTTTACTATATAATCAATAGAGCCCCGCCCTAACACCAGAACCCCTAACCCTGGGGCCATGAAATTCATAATTTCTAAAAAGGCAGCCATGTTCACCATAACTATGTTCTTAAATACTTTATTTAATACCAAGGAGCAGAGAAGAAGATTTTCAAAGAATTAATGCATTTTCACTATATAATCAATATAGCCCCGCCCTAACACCAGAACCCCTAACCCTGGGGCCATGAAATTCACAATTTTGGAAGAGGCACTCTTGCTCATCATAACTATGTACGTAGTTACTTTATTTAATACCCAGGAGCAGAGAAAAAGATTTTCAAAGAATTAATGCATTTTCACTATATAATCAATAGAGCCCCACCCTAACACCAGAACCCCTGACCCTGGGACCATGAAATTCAAAATTTTGGAAGAGGCACTCTTGCTCATCATAACTATGTACTTAGTTACTTTATTTAATACCCAGGAGCAGAGAAGAAGATTTTCAAAGAATTAATGCATTTTCACTACACAATCAATAGAGCCCCGCCCTAACACCAGAACCCCTGACCCTTGGAACATGAAATTCACAAGTTTGGAAGTGGCACTCTTGCTCATCATAACTATGTACTTATTTAGTTTATTTTATATCCAGGAGCAGAGAAGAAGATTTTCAAAGAATTAATGCATTTTCACTATATAATCAATAGAGCCCCAACCTAACACCAGAACCGCTGACCCTTGGGCCATGAAATTCACAATTTTGGAAGAGGCACTCTTGCTCATCATAACTATGTACTTAGTTGGTTTATTTAATATCCAGGAGCAGAGAAAAAGATTTTCAAAGAAATAATGCACTTTCACTAGATGATCTATAAAGCCCCACCCTAGCACCAGAACCCCTGACCCTGGGGCCATGAATTTCATAATTTTGGTAGAGGGCTCAATGCTTATTACAATCATGCTAACAGTTTGACTGCTTGATGTCCAGGAATAAAGAAGAAGATTTTTAAAGATTGCATTAATTTTGGTGGTTTTAGCCCCACCCCTTAGGCCCCAGGGGGGCAGGGACCATGAAATTCAAAATTTTTGTTCCCCTTCACCCATAGAATGCTATATGCCAAATTTGGTTGAAATTGGTTGAGCGGTTTCAGAGAAGAAGCTAAAAATGTTCAAATGTTAACACACATTGCACGATGACAGACAAAAACGGATAGCTATAGGTCACCTGAGTGACTCAGGTGACTTAAAAATTGAGACCAGAAAAAATACACCCGACAGTAATTAACAGTAAACATATCTACCCTGAAATACACGTAGGCTTCACATGTTAACAAACATACTACACACCATCCAGGATGTTGCACCATGCACACCTAAAAAAAAGTTCCCTTTAATTAAGTGGGACAATTCTGCTAAAGATATGATATTCTTAGCTCATGAGTCCAAAATTAATACTGTAGGCCTAAAATAAGATGCCAAAAATGAAAAAATAAAAATAAATTGTCTCTCGTTATATATACAACTACAACTGACTAAGTTCATTTTGACTGGCTGTTTCCTTTGAACATACTCACGTCTTGTAATGAAATCTGTATTCATTTCTGAAAATATAAGTGCATAACATCAAAATCACTTTTCTTAAAGTTCTCCTCAGAAGAATATTATCTATGAGTGAAGGCAATGTCTATCATAAATTGAATGTTCTAGTAGTGTGCACATCTACATGCCTTACCATACAAGTTTGGTCTAGTTAGGAATTATAGTTTCTTGGGAATGTCCAAAATAATCATCCTGAAAATAAATGTCTTATCATCCACTTAAGTCAGAAGCATCATCCATGCAACTTTTTGTACAGGTAGAGCTTATAGTTACTTGAAACTTTGGTACTTTGTAAAAGTTTTATGGGCAAGTTCATTCCCAAGTAACTATAAGCTCTACGCTTAAAGTTACTTGGGAATGAACTTGCCCATAAAACTTTTACTGGGATGTCAACACACTTCTAAAGCAAAAGCTCATCTCGACTTTGTTGAGGTGAGCAAAAAATATTCAGTTTACTGCCTTTTGAACATTTGTTGTCACATTGTAGAATTGGTAGTGTTTTCTTTAAATATGATTAATTATTATGCTGAGGAGTGTCCAAGAAATGTAAAACAATGTATTCTCTGGGGGAAAAAGTGATTCTATCACACCATCTAAGTTTGTTGGTATGCCAGTCTAACCTACCAAATGAACCACTTGTAGAAATCTTTATGGATGAGGAATTAGTGTCTTATAGTCATCCTGTCTCCCAATGATGGCATCATCAGAATCTGTCTCCATTCACTGTAATTATGACAAACTATTGCATAATTTTAAGTTGAAAGGAAAGCAAATGATATTTATATGAAATAACAAGATGTGTTTGTGAAACATTGTTGTCCCCTATGGCAGTTCAAGACAAAGGTTTGGATTTTTCAAATTTAGGTTGAGGTCTACAAGGTTAAAGTGAAGAGTTCAAAAAGTGTTTGTATTCAAAGAAAGGTCTTGTCACAACAAATACCATCTTCTCTAGTCAAAGGTTTCTGATCTGCTACTCTCCTTACAAACCCTTGGCATATGGTGCTGTCAAAAGATGGGAAGTACAGTCTAAGCAAAAAGTCTGAATCAGATCTGTTCATCAATTTTTAAAATCTCTTATACAGATAAAATGCAGGTATGTTTTTGAACTCAGTCAAATTAGTTTATCAGCTAAAAGACATGTTCAGGACATACATGTATATCAAAACATACAAACAAAGTGATTACAGTCTTTTGTCCCTTTTAAGTCTATTTGCTTTAAGGGGAGGGGATGGGTGGGTACTGATTACAATTACTCGCCCAAAACCTTCAATTAAATTACCATTACCATTACAAGGATTTTGAAATGTAATTAATTAAATTACAATTACTTTGCAAATGTAATTAATTAAATTACAAATTACATTAGGAAAAAACGTATAAAAATAAACAATGATAAATAGTCATGAACATTCATTTATATTCATATACATTTAGTAACTTTTTTTTTACATGAAGTAAACATTGTTTAGATGTTATGAATTTTTTAAAAATTGTGTCCCCTAACCTACATCCATCAGATTTTTCTGCCACAATGAAGATATTTTACACTGGGGCATTTGTGACATGAATACTTACCGGTAAATACTGACTAATAGCAAGTTTCAGGGCTTATTATAAATATTATTGACCCTTTTTGGTCCAGGGTCCTGTACCCTTTTAATTGTAAATTTTTCATAGAAAAGTGGCAAAATTGGGAAATGTTGTTGAATTTTATTTATTTTTTGATTAAAGAGTTAAATAGTGGACTTGTTCCCTATATACACATAATATATATCTTTAAAAATGATTAAAATTTCAAAACATGTTATTTCTATATATAAACAGCATCAAAAAATTGAATTTGGTCATCAGTTGGGAATCGTTACCTCAATTTAGGGAAAAAAAGAGAGCCAATTTTCAACTGGGACATGGTCCTTTTACAGGACCCGGATGCTGTTTTACATTAATTCATGTGTCCATTTTTAAAGCTTTCTGATATATTTATGGAAAACAATGGGTGCATTTTGCCTTGTTTCCTGCTTTTTTATCATCCTAAGCAATATATCTCAAAATGTTATATTTGACATATTGTGTGTCAAACTACTGTCTTCCCACAAATTTTTAATATATTATAAATATTGGTGTTATAACACCAAATTATATATTACAAAAAAGATTTGTGGGAAGACATAGTCAATGTATGTGTACAAAACTACCATTAGGTATATACTAGTCAAAATGAGTGTAAAATCTCTATTTAAGTTTAGTGTCAATATGAACATGACCCTAGGGCACTACTTAGCACCTGTTAATCACTTCTAAGACAAGCTGTAGGTATGGCAAACAAAGAATTAGAAGCCAATGGACTAGATATTTTAAGTGTCAATTCATACACAACTTAATGGAAATTATTAAGGTCTTCCGTTTCAGACGGAAGACCTTATAGTGATTCTACTGTTTCTTCTTTTTATTATTATTATTATTTTTTTTTTTCCCCTTTTCTTTTCCGGGTGATTTCTCAGAGATGGCTGGACGGATTTTCTTGAAATTTTCAGGGATGATAGAAAATGAAAATACCCCTAGGCGTTTTTTTCATTTTTTCAAAATTCACTTCCTGTCGTCAGATATGTCCGATTTCCGTTTTTTTCAAAAATATTTTGTCCCAGTCATATCTCAGAAACGGTAAGAGATTAAGACACCAAACTTATATGGTTAATAGATCTTGAGGAGTAGGCAAATCCATTTGGGTTAAGAGCGTCAGCCGTCACTTCCGGTCGTCACAGGAAGTGATCAAAGAAATCGAAAATTTCAACTTTTCTTTTTTGAATCTTTTTCTGCATCACATTATTGCATTTCATTTGTAGTTTCGAAATATGTTGGTCTCACCGGAAACAAAAACGTCAACTTCCGGCTATAAGCGAAAAACTGCATAACTTGAGTATTTTACTTTCCCATAAATATTTTTTATAGATAAAGTATTTGAATTGATTTTTGAATATGTTATCAAGACTGCAAATGTCTAGAGTAACGTCAAATATCTTTGTAAAATTCACTTCCGGTCGCGCGTTTGAATGTCCGCAAAATGAGAACTTGTCCGAGTGATATCTGAGAAACGGTAAGAGATTTAGACACCACACTTATAGGAGTATTAGACCTTGAGGAGTAGACAAAACCATTTGGGTTAAGAGCATCAGTCGTCACTTCCGGTCGTCACAGGAAGTGATCAAAGAAATCAAAAATTTCAACTTTTCTCTTTTTGAATAAGACTTGCATCATATAATTGTATCTTTTTCACAGTTACGATATGTGTTAGTCCCACCGGAAACAAAAACGACAACTTCCGGTTATAAGAGAAAAACAACATAGTAGGGGTTTGGAATTTTTCCCCAACATATCGCTTATAGAGAGAGTTCTTTAAATGATTTTTATGTATGTTATTGAGACTGCAGATGTCTAGATTGACGTCAAACATCTTAGTAAAATTCACTTCCGGTTGCGTATTTTCCTGCCCTCAAATTGAGATTTTATTCACCTAATTGCTCAGCACCAGTAAACGACTGAAATCCAAAACTTTCAGGACTGATAGTCAGTCACCAGTTTTTCTACATCATTTGAAAATCGTACATTGCCGTCAGTTTCCGGCGTGACCGGAAGCGATGCAAACAAGGTGAATTTTCCAAGTTTTTTTTTTCTTTTTACAGAAATGTTTGGCTAATGCAGATGTTAGATAGACTAAAACCATGCAAATTATTTTCACTGGAAGTGCCGGCCGAAAAATCGGAACATGAGTAATTTTTCATGAAAACTTATAGGGATGATCAGTTGTGAATAATTTAGGTGTAGAATGAACATTTTATTTGTTTTGAGTAATTTCAGTCTTGATGAAGTAAAAAAAAAAACGTAGAAAGTAAATTTTTTTTCCGGGATTTTCTCAATGACCTTGACCTTTGACCTTGACCTTTGATGACCTTGACCTTTGACCAAAAGGTCAGAATCAATAATTAATTTACTCCTCTTTCCCCCCTACCCTTCCAAAAAAATCAACAACAAAAAAAAATCAAAATCAAAAAAAAAAAAAAAAACAAAAAAAACAAAAAAAAAAAACATTAATTTCAGCCTAGAATATTTTTCTAGAACTCATACAACACCTCGGATCGACATAACATTTCGAGGTATTGCAGAAGATATCTGAAAGAAAGTTTCCTGAAAATTTGACGGTGAATCTCTGAAGTGTATAGAAATTATGAATGTTTACGGCAAACACTATATCTTTTTTCGTATCTGAAATTTAGATGCCGATGAACATAAAAATTAATTAAAGCTTTTCTCGGTTATTTCTTCAGTTGTTATGAATAGCAGTCGATTCTCTTGATATGATATGATATTTTAACACCAAGCATTCTTGCTTTCTCTAGTATGTGGAATTTATTTCAATTTTATTTAGAATTAATATTAATCGAATGAATGTCGAAAACAGCGATTTTTTCCTAGCAAATAAATTTTCACGCTCTCATTGACACATTTTTCTCTCTAAAATCCCTATCTGAAATTTTAATTTATGCTACTTACATTTAATTCAATCGACACAGAGATGCTTATTTTAATCTTACCTATTATTTTAGGATATTCAGTCACATCCGAACCCGATCCGAAATTTTCCTATCTTTGTAAACAAAGTCTCGACACTGCAGTTCTAATGCATCATAGGCTCTGAATGATTAACTCAATGCATTCCAAATATAGACCATCTCAAATGATTTTTTAAACCGAAAATCTGCAATTGTATTATACACCAATCATGTTTCTCAATCTATTCAATACTGATCACTACATTCCATAACAAACAAGAGAACACGTGCTTTTATTCCTATTTATTCTTAAACAATTAATTTACTACCTCCATCTTCATCAGAATACGTGGTCTAGTGGTTAGCGCGCCTGCCTTACAAACCAAAGGTTTTGAGTTCGATCCCTGCTGGAAGGACATTTTTTTTTCATTTTCAGCTTTTTTTTTCAAACCAGTTGACACAAGAGTCAAGAAAACGGAAGACCTGTTATTGCCTAGGCAATAAGTATCTAGTTTATTTTATTTTTACATTATAAACAAAGAGATAAATATGATTAAAAAGTTTTGAAGAAAATGCTTTTTAAAGAGGAAACAGCAATTCACTAAATAAAGGAAATATATGATTAAAAAAAATTATTATAGAACATTTTGTAAAAATAAATCAGTTAACCTTTCTTGAATAAAGTGTATGGGATTTGAAGGGGTGGAGGCTATTTCTCATTTATTAAACACAGGTGTAATTGAATGTAATTGAAAAGTAATTGTGAATTACATGCTTTTCTCAAAAGTAATTAATTAAATTACAATTACATGTAATTGAAAATTGGGTCAATTACACATTACTTTCAATTACATCAAAATTCGTAATTAATTACAGTCAATTACCATTACACATTACCATTACCCCATCCCTGGTACTAAATAGCATCTTTTGATTTTATCAAATGACAACTATGTTAACCTACCTTTTCTCATCTTTGCTCCAGCCTTTTCTTTCTACTTGTTTTACCTGGAAAAATGCACAAAATTTTCATTTTAGGTGTTGTACTACATTTTAACATCTTAGAATTTTATGAAATGGGATCTTTTTTCACAGTTTTCATCAAAAGAGCAGATCTGAAAAAAAATAATGACCTTCTTAAGAGATATATGAACATGTATATGCCTATTATGAAAGCATTTCCATATTCTAAGAAAATAAACCACCAAATACATGTACTTGTTTTTAACAAAAAAATACTGTATAAGTGGAAATCTTAGTGAGATGCCAATTTAGAAATTTACCCCCAAATTTTTAGCAAGAAGTAATTTAAGTGATTTTGTAATATCAAGAGAGAAAGCTATAACAGCCAAAATAGAATAAATTGTTAGCAATATTCAATTTTAGCAATCTCAGTTCCCTCACTAAAAATGCCAAAATTGAATCCTCCCTAAAAATTCTGCTTCTATGGTAATTTGAATTCACAGAAATTATACTCATTTACAGAATTGCAAATGATTTCTTGCAATGACAAAGAATTTAAAATAAGTATAGACGATTATAAAATACAATAAAAATCTTTGAGTATATCTGGTGCAGTTTTTTGGGGTTATCAAACACATTTTTAAAATTGTTCTTTCATTTGCAAAAATTCCAGTGAAGTAAAATATGAAACTAGGAACATTACTTCATCAACCAAACAATAATAAAAACAAAGGGGGAGTTTCGATAAGGCGGTTTTTCGGCCCCTCACGAAATTTTCTGAAATTTTTTATATTTTGTAGAAAAACTCCTTATCGTCCAAAAAATATGAAAATAATTTATGTGAAGCATTTTCCGGTCACGTGATAATTGAAAATTTAAGTATACCCCCTTTTGTATATTTTTGGAGTAGACATTTTTATAGGGGGAAAGTGGATTTTTTAAATCGTCAAAATAATAAATGAAATAGGGTAAATATGAATAAAGACATAAATTAACCAATTTCAACAATTTTTTTTTACGGAAAATGGTATTTACCTTACGCGAATATTTTTTTTTTAAGGTGCGATATTTTTCTGGTGTGTTAAATGTTACTTTTCTTTAAAAGAGGACGAATTGATCTTATAAAACATAAACATATATAGAAAGTTTTAACATCATAATTAATCGACAGTTTATATGTAAACTTTACAATCAATATTTAACATTTTCCCATACGAAAAATGCAAATGAAAAGATATATGGACATGAGATAGGTAAACGTAAAAACGTCATATACAGGGATATGCAATACATTTTCATCAATGAGATTATACAACTACATATTTTATAAAAATATACCTTAATATCATAAAATTGAAATTAAAGAGGCTGGGGGGTTGTGGCCATTTTTAGACTATATTGATCTCCTTTAGAAGAAGAGCTCCATATGAAGATATAGAAAATAATCAAATTTTAAAACTAAAATTTTTGAAATTTTTCTTTGCCGAATGATAGTTGACAGCTTAAGATATCATATCTAAAAATTAAAGTTAAATCTGGTGCTTAATTTGTGGTTAATTTGTTTACCCCCCAGCCTCCTTAAATAAAATGTTTTGAATTAAAAAGATTAAAAAATAAATGCAACTTTATATACATACATGAATAAGAAGTTTATTTAAAAGAATCATATTGCTATGTAAGCTGGTACGTTGTAGGTGCAAGGTAAGAAAAATATTTTATCTGGCAGCCACCACATAATTATTTGGCGGCCACTAGAAAAATATATCTGCCAAATAGCTTTCCTGCGGCCAAAACATAAATAACTGGCAGCGACCAGAAACTTATTTGGCAGCCAACACATAAATAACTAGAAGCAGGCAAGTAAGTTTCTTGCGGTGTAGAATGTAATCTTGCTAATAAGGCATGAAACTCCCAGATTTGACTACAAACAGAAGTTGTAGATGTCGTTAAAGGCAGAGATTTTAAGCACCGCCTTTAAAAATACCTGGTCTGTGTACCTCTGTCAATCAAGTGCATTAAGGTACATCATTGGGTGCTACAACTTGATTGGCAAACCACTAAATTTTTTCTGGCAGCCGCCAGATATTTCAATGGCAGGCCAGATAATATTTTTTTTTTTACCTAGCACCTACCGGCTTCAGTATATTGCAATGTATTTGATAATATGAATAATATTAATTACAGTCAAAAATATTTTATCATGATACGTAATATGTGAATAGCCAAATGATGGAAAAATCTATAATACATTGAGTGTTTCCTTTTCATTATGAAACTTAGAAGTATTTGCCTGCATCATGTTTTCAGCATAACTGAGAGAATCCCAGCCAGGACTAATTTCCTATCGCTTCCCCGCTCTCCATAGATACTTAAGTTGCTTCACCAACTCTAGTCACTCCTCATTTAGAGAGTTTTAGAATTCATTATAAATGATTTGCTAGACCAAAGCGCAGTTCGAAATACACGTGTAAATGCCAAAGATATGTGTTTAATCCTTAATCAGGCAGACATATGCGCCTAGACATCCAGACTTAAAACAATCCACGTTCCCTATATGTCAATCACACGGAAATACATGGGCACTTCTCTAGCATGTTGGAGCGTGAATTTCTATACAAGAAAGTCAAAAATATTTGTATTTTTGACTTTCTTGTAACTATGCATGATAAATAACGTTAAGGAATGGACTTGCTTTAAAACTTTTTTGTTCAGTTCCAGCATCTGAATCATGTCTGGTAGTGTGCAATCCTAGATGCATCATCAGTGCAAGTTTGGTTATGATAGGGCTTATAGTCACATAAGAATGAGACACACTTCAAAATCTTTAACCTGCTCTATCATTAAGGAAATGTAGGTCATATCCAGCATCTAAAGCAATCTAATAGTGTGCATCTGTAGATGCATCATGAAGCAAGTCTGATCAACAAGTGCTTACAGCTGCTCTGCTCCAAAAACTTAAACCTGCTTTTAAAACATTTACCTGGACATTCTTTGGCTAAAATCCAGCATTTGAAACCTTACTGGTGACAAGGAAACATGCTAGATCAGGTGACTGTGATTAATATAGGGCATAGATATACTTGAAAAAAAATCTGCTTCAAAAAGTTTTACCTGGAACACCGATGCTGACGGTATTACAAAAGCTCCCCCAACTTCGAGGAGGTGAGCTAAAAATGTGACGTTAGCGTTAACGTTATATGTTGGCGACAAAAATAGTATCAAAATGAAGACAGGATACGATGATGTTTTCTACTGTTAATACATGTATAATCGAGAATCTTCTTTAATTCAACAAAATATGCTACTTTTGGCTTAGTATTTTAACACAGAGTCAGATCAAGAAACCAGGAGTTTCTACTTTTAGATATGCATGTTATGCAATTTTCAATTTTTGGATATGAAGTGCACAGGCGACACTCATCATATTTCAAGAAATTAGTGTGCAGAGTATATCTAATTACTGAACAAATTTAGGTGAGTGTCCCTCATGCACTTCATATTCTAAACATCGATTTATAAATGCCACCCTCTTATATTTTCCCATGAGCCTAATGTTAACGAATCTGAGTGTACATCTAAGTATGTATCAGCTACGGTGTTAATTCTTCTCATATTAACTTTTAAAATATAAATAACAAAAGTTAACATATTTATCTTGAATACTAAACTAGTTTTGAAAAAATAAATTGAAATTTATATTTAAGAAAAAGTGGGCCGCTGAGCAGCCTTATCGAAACTCCCCCTTTAACATCAAAATTTCAAACTCAGAATGTCTGGATCTAAACTGACTTGTTTTGTTCCAGCTTGACTGGGTTAGGTTTTAACTAGAGTGGGTTTGTTTCTAAACTGACTTATTCATGTTCCTGTCTAACTGGATTAGATTTCTACCTGACTGGGTTAGGCTCTAAACTGACAGTTTTATGATTCTGCCTGACTGGGTTAGGTTCTGAACTGACTTGTTCATGTTTCTGCCCGACTAGGTTACATTTTTTCCTGACTGGGATAGGTTCTAAACCGACAGTTTTATGTTTATATCTGACTGGGTAGGTTCTAAACTGACTGTTTCATGATTCTGCCCGACTGGGTTAGGTTCTAAACTGACTGTTTTATGTTTCTGCCTGACTGGGTTAGGTTCTAAACTGACAGTTTCGTGATTCTGCCTGACTGGGTTAGGTTCTTAACTGACTTGTTTATGTTCCTGCCTGACTGGGTTAATTTCTTAACTGACTTGTTCATATTACTGCCTCACTGGGTTATGTTTCTACCTGACTGGGTTAAGTTCTGAACCGACTGTTTTATGCTTCTGAATGGGTTATGTTTCTACCTGACAGGGTTGGGTTTTAAGCTGACTGTTTTCTGATTCTGTCTGACTGGGTCAGGTTCTAAACTGACTTGTTCATGTTCTTGCCTGACTGGGTTAGGTTTCCACCTGGCTGGGTTAAGTTTCTTCCTGACTGGGTTAGGTTCTAAACTGACTGTTTTATGATTCTGCCTGAGTGGGTTAGGTTCTAAACTGACTGTTTTATGTTCCTGCCTGAATGGGTTAGGTTCTAAACTGACAGTTTCGCGATTCTGCCTGACTGGGTTAGGTTCTTAACTGACTTGTTTATGTTCCTGCCTGACTGGGTTAATTTCTTAACCGACTTGTTCATATTACTGCCTGACTGGGTTATGTTTCTACCTGACTGGGTTAAGTTCTGAACCAACTGTTTTATGTTTCTGACTGGGTTATGTTTCTACCTGACAGGGTTGGGTTTTAAGCTGACTGTTTTCTGATTCTGTCTGCCTGGTTTAGGTTCTAAACTGACTTGTTCATGTTCTTGCCTGACTGGGTTAGGGTTCCACCTGGCTGGGTTAAGTTTCTTCCTGACTGGGTTAGGTTCTAAACTGATAGTTTTATGATTCTGCCTGAGTGGGTTAAGTTTCTACCTGACTTGTTTGGGTTCTAAACTGGCTATTTTATGATTCTGCCTGACTGGGTTAGGTTTTAAACTGACTTGTTCATGTTCCTGCCTGACAGGGTTAGGTTTATACCTGACTGGGTTAGGTTTTGAACTAACTTGTTCATGTTCCTGTCTGACTGGGTCAGGTTTCTACCTGACTGGGTAAGGTTTTAAGCTTACTGTTTTACAACTCTATGTGACTGGGTTAGGTTCTTAACTGACTGTTTTATGATTCAGCCTCACTGGCTTGGTTTCTTAACTGAATTGTTCATGTTCCTGCCTGACCGGCTCAAGTTCTAAACTGATTTGTTCATATTACTGCCTGACTGGGTTATGTTTCTGGGTTAGGTTCTGAACTGAATATTTTATATTCCTGCCTGACTGGGTTAGGTTTCTACCTGACTGGGTTAGGTTCTGAACTCACAGTTTTATGTTCCTGTCTGACTGAATTAGGTTTCTTCCTGACTGGGTTAGATTTTAAGCTTACTGTTTCACAATTCTACCTGACTTTGTTAGGTTCTTAACTGTCTTATGTTCCTGCCTATCTGGGTTAAGTTCTAAACTGACTGTTTTATGATTCAGTCTGACTGGCTTAGGTTTTTAACTGACTTGTTCATATTCCTGCCCGACTGGGTTAAGTTCTAAACTGACTTGTTCATATTACTGCCCGACTGGGTTATCTTTCTACCTGACTGGTTAAGTTCTGAACTGACTGTTTTATGTTTCTGACTGGGTTATGTTTCTGCCTGACTGGGTTGGGTTCTAAACTGACTTGTTCATTTTCCTGCCTGACTGGGTTAGGTTTCTACCTGACAGGGTTAGGTTCTACACTGACTGTTTTATGATTCTGCCTGACTGGATAAGGTTTTAAACTGACGGTTTTATGATCCTGCCGCACTGAGTAAGGTTCTGAACTGACTGTTTCATGACTCTGCCTGACTGGGTTAGGTTCTAAACTGACTGTTTCATGATTCTCCCTGACTGCATTAGGTTCTTATCTGACTTTTTCATGTTTCTGCCTGACTAGGTTAGGTTTTTTCCTGACTGGGATAGGTTATAAACTGACTGTTTTATGTTTTTACCTGACTGGGTTACGTTCTAAAATGACTGTTTCATGATTCTGCCTGACTGGGTTAGGTTCTGAACCGACTTGTTCATGTTCCTGCCTGACTGGGTTAGGTTTCTACTTGAATGGGTTAGGTTTTAAAGTGACTGCTTCATGATTTTGCCTGACTGGGTTGGGTTCTAAACTGACTTGTTCATGTTCCTGCTTGACTTGGTTATGTTTCTACCTGACAGGGTTAGGTTCTAAACTGACTGTTTTATGACTCTGCCTGACTGGGTTAGGTTCTAAACTGACTGTTTTATGATCTTGCCGCACTGAATAAGGTTCTGAACCGACTGTTTCATGATTCTGCCTAACTGGGTTAGTTTTAAACTGACTTGTTCATGTTCTTGCCCGAGTGGGATAGGCTTCCACCTGACTGGGTTAGGTTTTTGCCTGAATAGGTTAGGTTCTAAACTGACAGTTTTATGTTCCTGTTTGACTGGGTTAGGTTTTAAGCTTACTGTTTTACAATTCTACCTCACTGGGTTAGGTTCTTACCTAACTACTACCTAGTCCTTGTTGCACCCGGAGGCACATAGGGCAAGGATTAGGGATTAGGGGTTAGGTTCTTGACCTGCCTATGTTCCTGCCTGACTAGGTTAGGTTCTAAACTGACTGTTTTATGTTTCAGCCTGACTGGGTTAGGTTTTTTAACTGACTTGTTCATGTTCCTGCCTGACTGGGTTAAGTTCTAAACTGACTTGTTCATATTACTGCCTGACTGGGTTATGTTTCTACCTGACTGGGTTAAGATCTGAACTGACTGTTTTATGTTTCTGACTGGATTATGTTTATACCTGACTGAGTTGGGTTTTAAGCTGACTTTTTCTGATTCTGCCTGACTGGATTAGGTTCTAAACTGACTTGTTCATGTTTCTGTCTGACCTGGTTATGTTTAATCCTGACTGGGTTAGGTTCTAAACTGCCAGATTTATGTTTCTACCTGACTGGTTTATTTTTCTACCTGATTGGGTTAGGTTCTTAACTGAATGTTATACAATTCTGCCTGACTGGGTTAGGTTCTAAATTGACTTGTTCATGTTTCTGTCTGACTGGGATAGGTTTCTTCCTGACTGGGTTGGGTTCAAAACTGATAGTTTTATGATTCTGCCTGACAGGGTAATATTTCTGCCTGACTGGGTTTGGTTCTAAACTGACAGTTTCATGATTCAGCTTGACTGGGTTAGGTTCTTAAATGACTTGTTCATGTCCCTGCCTGACTGGGTTAAGTTCTAAACTGTCTTGTACATATTACTGCCTGACTGGGTTATGTTTCTACCTAACTGGGTTAAGTTCTGAACTGACTATTTCAGTTTCTGAAAGGATTATGTTTCTACCTGACTGGGTTGGGTTTTAAACTGACTGTTTTCTGATTCTGTCTGACTGGATTAGGTTCTAAACAGACTTGTTCATGTTTCTGTTTTACTGGGTTATGTTTAATCCTGACTGGGTTAGGTTCTAAACTGCCAGTTTTATGTTTCTACCTGACTGGCTTAGGTTTCTACCTGACTGGGTAAGGTTTCTACCTGACTGGGTAAGGTTTCTACCTGACTGGGTTAGGTTCTTAACTGAATGTTACGCAATTCTGCCTAGGTTCTAAATTGACTTGTTCATGTTTCTGAACTGACTGTTTTATGATTATACCTAACTGGGTTAGGATGTGAACTGACTGTTTTATGTCCCTGATTGACTGGGTTACTTTCCTGAATGGGATAGGTTCTAAAATGAATGTTTTATGATACGCTCCGACTGCGTTAGGTTCTAAACTGACTAATTCATGTTTCTTACTGACTAGGTAATGTATCTTCCTGACTGGGTTAGGTTTTAAACTGAGTGTTTGATGTTTCTACCTGACTGGGTTAGGTTCTAATATGACTGTTTTATGTTCATGCCTGACTGAGTTAAGTTTCTATCCGACTGGGTTAGGTTCTTAACTAACAGTTTTATGATTCTGCCTGACTGGGTAATGTTCTAAACTGACTTATTCAATTTTTAGCCTGAGTGGGTTTTGTTTCTGCATTACTGATTTGGATCTGAACTGACTAATTCTTGTTCCTGCCTAAGTGGGTTAGGTTTCTGCCTGACTGGGTTAGGTTCTAAACTGACTGAAGGAAGTCACTTTAAGTCTGGGTAAGCTAGGTTCTAAACTGACTTTATCATGTCCTTCCCTGACTGGAATATATGTTGTTCTGAACAAGATTCCTAAATGACCACACTCAAGTTTTTGCTTATTCTTAATTATTTCCACTTGAAAGGGGGCATGATCCTTCATTTAAATCTTTACACAAGGATACTCTGTGCCAAATTTGGTTAAAATTAGTTTCAGAGAAGAAGAGGAAATTGTGAAAAGTTAACCAAAAAATCAATGATGTAAATGACTACATGCTACAATCTAATTGAAATTAAATCCTTTGATCAGCTCACATATGATCGCTACACAAAGTGTGTAGGGATCATATGTGAGCAGATCAAAGGATCTAATTTTAATTAGATTGCACATGCAATGGACAAATTTGGATCAAAAAAGCTCACCTGTGCCACTGTGCAAAAGGAGGAAGGGGTATTGATGCTGTGTATGTAGTTTATATATGTTCTATTTTTATTACATATTAAAATTATTTTCAACAATTACCTTGTTATTTTACCTGTCCAAAGAACATGACAAAAAAGATAACAGGGTGATTGGTAGAAATATAGGCATACAGGTGTCAAAACTCCCTTTTGGTGAACAGTCTGCATCACTCATTGTTTATCCACCATTAGTGATCTTTAACAGAGGAGACTATGTAGGTTTCACATGTTGACAGTCTACACACCATTGAGTAAACTACATCATTTCCAACTAAAAGAAATCTTTTTTATTCACAATAAATGGATTGAAATATGCTGCTCAAAATAACTTCAAAATATCAATAACTTCCTCATTCAATTTAAAAAAAAATCTTATTGAAAATACCAGATCATAAGTTTAGTTTAAGTACACTTCATACTTTCTTGGGCGTTAACAAACCTATATGAAAATGGCAGATAGGCAAGTTCAATTGCTGGTGATCAGACACAAGAAGCTCAGGCAGGTCCAATTGCTGGTGACCAGATACACTTAGTGGTTTGGATTGTGCTGACCGGGATGTCGGCATGGGTGGATTAGAGCAGCTTACAAGCTATGCAGGAGTCCAAGTTTGATTCCCTGTCAATCCTTTCCAGTTATAATATTAAATTAACATATGAAAAAGCATAGATATTAGCGAGCGCAGCGAGCAGCGCAAAGCGCCGCTCATCACTCAGAGCTCTAAAAGCAATGCCTGGGCGAAGAGAAAATTCTGACTTTGCAAATTGATCCAAATGAATTTTTTTCCACAGTTACCTGTGGTCCCATAATGCTTTGCGAATTGCTTCTCCCCACAAACAACGTTCTCGCAGTAGCAAGAAGTTCCAAAAAAAAATATACACCCACGTTGATTTGATGGATATATAGCAGACAAATAGTAGATTAAAACTTCTTTATTAAAATAAGCCCTGTTCAGACTTTGTTTTGGTAATGCTACTTACAAGCGACGTTATATGACGTCAGAGTCTAGACGTACTAAAAGTCTCGTGCAGTTTGATAACTTTGAAGAGCCAGATCTAAATTAAAACTGAATATAGGTATCTGCGCTCACCCTTACGGTTGCACCGTCAACATATTAAAAATATACAAGACATTGTACGTTCGAAAATTACAAAATAATTCCCCTACTCTCGCACTGAAAGTCTTCAAACTTCTATACATTTATAATATATACATACACACTTTTGAATAAATTCACTAAATTCTAAAGAAAATAAGGAGCTGTGTAAGAGTGTAGGGTGCTAACTTTATTGAAAAATGAGAGGGGTAGATGTTGATTATACTAGGCCTACGTTTTCTAGTGGGGTTTCTAACATAAACCATAAAAATACACCTCACCCTCCGGCCGCCAGTTCGCTTCTTTTTTCTTATACAATGCACATAACACAGCTCATCGATGTAGCATCAATGTTTCGGTGTATTTTTCTTTGTGACCTCTTCGTTTCTACTTCCGTTTCATTTTCAGTTCTTGCTAATCATGCCAAACGTTATTTCTCCCGCCGCTAAACTAACTTCGGGATCGATGTACTCAGCTACATAATATAAAACTGAAACCATACCGGAATTAATTTTCCCGAACTGCTTGACTGGTTAAGTAATAGACTCTACCATTCAATTCATTGCTTTAGTGTTGCTTGTCCATATACAATGTGTTCTCTTAAAAAATGAGATAAAATTTACTGTTAATAAAAAATCTGGAGCTTAAGAATCATGTTAAAAGAATAAACTTTATTTCCATAGAAGTTATCACACCCATTCAATAGAACAACCCAAGAAAAAGGCGCGAAGATAATTTACGTGACACTTGGCGCGAAATGATTGTGTCACCCCTTTTGCAGAAGGCAAATGGACTGATCCAGTAGTTTAGAAATGCAGAAAAAATGTTACACGGACATGTTCGTACAAAGAATCGCAAAGAATAAATATGTGCATGCAGAAAAATTGAAGGAATTAAACACATCATTATTTTGAATTAGTTATATGATTCTTTCTTCTGCAAACTGTATTTGTTTAAATGCAGGTAACAAATTCCGATGTAAATCAGCTTGCAGAAAATCTAGTTCATTAAGAATGATCGCTTAGTTTCGGATCCCCGAAATATTAATCCTTATACTGCCTGACGCACGTGGCGTCAGGCAATCAAGTGTTCTGAACTACAGTACAAACACAGCAAGTTGTAAAGGAGATGGGTGAACAAGGCGTGCAGAATACCTATAGCATGCGTGAATAATAAAGAACAGAAATTAGTACGTTGCTATAAATGTGAAGTATGGGAATTCCAGGCCGGGGAGCATAATTATTTTATTTACTTTCTTTATATAAACGAACACAGTTTTCTCAGAAAGCAGTTTTTATTACTATTCATGATGTTTTTAAAAACTAATTATATTCTTAAATCCTATGTGTTTTTCTGTTAAACAATGCATTCTTTCATTTTGTGGTGAACTGCACATTAGTATATATATGAAATTCATCTCCGACTTCTTTTAGACTACAATGGAACAAATTCTGTCTCGTCTTGGTATATTAAGCCAGCATCCGCTTTCAATTGGTAAATGATGGTTACAAGTTCGGAATCTACAAAATGTAGTTAAATCTGTACGTTTTCTAAAGTAATAACCTTTACTATTCCGATATTTTTTTTGCGGGCTCTTTCACAAACGTTTATAATTTAATTTTAGTTGTAACACGTTATTTGATTGGATAAAAAATTTCGTTTATATCGTATAACATAAGTTGCCTACGTCATATTGAGTTACGTCAAAAACGTACTACTCCGCTTGACGTTACTTTCAAAATATCCTCAATTTGAAGCCATTTTTGGAAGAAAAATTGTCTTATTGTCTACACTGAAATTAAATTGTAAGGAATGAAGCTTATTTTAACCTATGTTATACGATATAACATAACTTGGGGCAGTTTTAGCTTTTTTTATAAACCGCTTCGCTGTTTATAAAGCGTATACTGCTCCAAGTTATGTTATATCGTATATTTTAAAATAAGCTTCATTCCGTAAGTAAACCAAGGTTTAGAATTCTTAATATTTTCATTGTTTCTTTCTATTACTAGTGCTAACACCTATAGAAATTTTTGCTCCATCTATGTATATCTTATTTAATTTTTCCACAAGTCCATCAATAACGCCTTCATGTTTGTCGTTAAGAGCCTACTACGCTTCTTATAACATACACCAAGTCAAACCAGTATTTTTGCTGTGAACCCCTACCATGCTGGATATAAGTTGGAAACCTACCAGTGAAAAAGTTCTTTTTGAGAACTGAAAAGAACTTTCAACTTTGCTAGAAATGCATTTACAACATTTACAAGCAAACCTACTTTCAGACATTAATGTACAACTGATTATCATTATCTTTTTTTTTGAGATACATGAAATAAACAGATAACAATGAACTCTGTCTCCATTATTCCTATCACAGTTTATTTTTGTCATGTTGTAAATTTCAGACAATTTTGTTGAAGGCAACTATTTCTTCTTACACAATATGTAATTTTGTAATTTTGGAACTCTAGACTAACATTTATACAGTCTGTAACTAAATAATGCCAAACACAGATGTTAACTGATACTTCAGCCCTAGTATTCTATCATTCAGAGGAAAAGTACTATAAAGGATTTTTTTTTAAAAGAATATGATGACAGTGGGTCATTCATAACATAAACTGTACATGAATTTGAAAGCAATAGAGATTTACTAAATCAAAGACTTACAGCTTTGATTATAAAAACAAAAAAGAAACAGGAAGGAAGTGATATAAAAATACCAGATTTTTCAACACTAACAATTCAAATTACAAGTAACAAAAATGACATAACAAGCAGACCATAATCAATATCATATATATACAGATAAATAAGAAATCATGCAGAAACCTGTGTAACAGTGAGCTATTGTTGGTCTTAAAAATGCATAACAAACAAGAAATGTTTGTAAAATATACACAGTCTGCAAAGTTTGTACTTGAACATTTGTAGCACATAGAGTTGCTGGTGTTTAGACACTTGTACACATTGGTAAGAACCAGGACCTGATGCTTCGGAGGTTGCACAGTTTAAACAAAGATTTATCACTATGTATATTTCTAATATGTTATGTATTAATCCTACAATTCTTTGATATATACTTGCTTTAAAAAAAATCATAAAACCTTTACTGTCAAATACAGGAGACAACATTAAACTCATTAATCTTGTTTTGTAATGATTCATTATTTCAAAAAAAATTATATATATAAATATCTCTACTTAACTAGAACAGGTACTGGTACCAAATATTTCATTCAATGTTTTAAAAAGTTTTACCTAGGAAAAATTATTTATCTCAACATCTAAGGATAGGATAATATGCAAATTTATAACCTACCCCCCCCCCCTGAAAAAAAAAACAATATACCAAAGATTTGACTTATAATGACATTTCATCTGTAAAAAGTTGATAAGATGAATTTTAAAGTTACAAAGTTTTTAAATTTTGTTTTGTTTTGTTTGTTTTTTTTTGTTGTTTGTTTTCTTTCTTTTTTTGCAAACTACATTTTGATGAAATACCAACTCTACATATCACTCAAACTTTACTCCATTCCATCAGTCTGGGTTCCATCAGAAAAATTTAAACAATATTGCTTAAATAATAGCACTACTAAAAAATGCATTTCCAACAAAAGTTTCAAGCACTCTTTTTTTATTGTGCTTCATGAGAAAAATGTACCAATAGCTTTAACAAATGTATCCTTGCTATTAAAGTTTATGAAAGTTCTAGAACTATTAGTACATGTGAATGCCAGACTGATACATTTAAAAAATGTTGCTCAGAAATTTATATAAATTTCAAGGCAATCTGAAGCAGAACAGCACTAGAGAAAGTCAAAACTTCTCTGACAAAATCTCAGCAATTTTGTTCCAATTCTCTTGCCAAGAACAATTCTGAGAGAAATTAGCCTCTACTGACTGAGCTGTGCCTGTTCACTTTGTACAGTCTAGCCTATAGCATTGGGCCCTGTGAAGGCACTTGAGGTAGTCAAGAAACTGTTGTTTTCTGATCAGTAATTGGTTAGAAGTGGGACATCAAACAGGTCACATGCCCCTTCTGTATCATCCAGATTAAAATAATAATCCCTGTCTGATGGTGGGGGACTTAACCGGAGCAGTGGAGCAAATGCTAAAACAAAAACAATGACATATCAGATACACTAAATTTATAACCACTTATTTTATTGCTCTTTGATTCTCATGCATTAAACTTATTTTTGACGCTATCAAGTTGTTAACTTTTTAATATACTGGTTGAATATTAATGTAAAATTTAAAACATGATAACACATTGTAAATTTTGCATTTACCTCCACCCAGTACTTTCAATGTTTACAGCATGACAACACCATAATTGTCAATATCCAACATATGAAGAGGGTCATGTCCCTCTTAGGGAAGTAAAAATTCTGGTAATAACAGTTGATGACATTCACGACATATTTAACATGCATATGATATATTATATTTCATATTGCATATACATGTACATGTATCTACAATAAGCATTTATGTTTTGAGTATCATTTTATCTAAAGTTCAAGCACTGTAACTTACAATGGCAAAATTTGAATGTTTCATTAATTCGTTGATTAAATTTATATGATAAATGGGCATTTTAGGTTTCATTGTTTAGCACTGACCTGAATTAAGTTGGGTTTTTTTTTTCAAAAATACTGGAAGTATTTTCAGAATCTGCATTGATGTTTGGTAGAACATGGGCGGTTTGAGCTAATTTTGAAAGTACATGTATGTAAGTTTGGTTTTGAAGACAATTTTTATTCTCAGACCTAATAAACAAATGCAATCAACATAAAATGTACAATTAGCCTCAAACACTTTATTTCATCCAATGAAAGTTGTTTTCCAAGATTCTTTCATATGTAAATAAATATTGCTTTTATTTTTGTTGGTGTTGTTCCTGCTTGCCCTGATAATGGACCCCAACCTATTGGACACCATATAATAAAAATAACTTTAAATTTTGATTTGTCAAAACAATGCCCAGATATATGTTGACACCTGCACTGATTAATATGGGTCTAGCCATCTACATTGTTTACATAAATTCGAAGTGATGATAACTTGACACTGGGAGATTTTCAGGTTGTTCAGCAAAAATTCAGTGAATAGCATAACCTGCCATGTCAAAAATTATAGGGTTACAGGTCAAAAAATTGTGTGTAACCGGACAAAATCAGGTGAGTTGGCAACTATGGACAACAAAGAGAATAAGATAGTAAAAAATGTTTATACCTTCAGAAGACATCAATTCCTCTATTAAATCTCCTTCACTTGGTATATCTGCAAAATGAGTGAATTCATTTACAATTAGATGAAAAGTCACCATACAAAACATCTTGACATATTAACAAGGAAATGCTCCTTAACCTACCAAGCCCTGTATGTCGGGGATCATTGGGATCAAACAGAATGTCACCAGGAAGAGAATCGAGCGAGGTCTGAGGATCAGATGTTGAAGGAACTAAAAATCAAACAAAATTTACATTTAAATGCAAGGTTAAAAGGTTAATTACTGACTCAGTATTCATGTAACTATAATCTTTATGAGGACATCCAGTGAAACAGCTTAATGTAGGTACTTGGTCATAACAGCCTTCAAAATAATAATTGGTGGATTGATCCATTCAAACCTTCACAATGTAAGTGACTTTACCTGATTGTGATGACTGGCCTTGTTTCCGTGGAGATGACCTTGTTGACATGCGTGTAGGGAATTCTACATCGGAAGATGGTTGTGATGGACGTAAGGGAGATTTCTGTGGTGAGCGCTAATTAAGAATAAAAACAATCTTTAAGTGTATATCACTAAGTGTTCAAAATTTCACTGGTCAGGATTTTGAGTATGAATACATGGTAGTAGATGAAATACATGTATCAATATAAACTCAATACAATACAGATGTAATTAAAATGTGCCATCCTTGTGACACAGTAATTCCAAAATGGTCGTTCTTTACAACTTTCTGAAATCTCATCAGAGACTTTTATTTACTTTGGCATTCTTTGATTTATTTTGGGTTTGGTTTGGATCAACATTCTGGTTTTCTGTGTCCTCTTCCTTTGGTGGGGGCACCTGTACCACAACAGGACTTGTTTCTTCTGTGTCTTTGTTCACCAAGAGAACATGGATAGGTCCTGTATGACTTTTCAGATGCATTTGGTAGTTCTTTTTAAAGCCAGGGCCCTATAAAAATGACTTCATTAAAATCCAGCAAACATGCCTTTTCAAAAATTAAATGAATTTTTTTTAATTCAACAGAGGCCTTTCAAAATAATATTAACAGAAGAATAACGAATGGTTTTCTGACAAATTGATCCCTTTCTGTCAACAACCACTGAAACAACGCAACCAGTGAACATCAGCTCTACTTACTACTTCTGGTATGGGAACTTCCAACTGAGTACCAGAAGGGGCCTGAATTGCTAGTAATGTGTCCCCTCGAAAACTTCGACAAATATCTTCATGAGTGACATATGCTGCCCTACAAATCACAATCATATGGTATCTATTTCAGGATGGTAATAAGGATTTTTTTGTTGTTGTTTTTTTTGTTTTTAATGAGACTATCTTTTTCAAAAATATTCAAGTACTATAAATATTCAGATAATTGAGACATTACTGTGTATTTGTGACTTCATCTGTGACATTCTTTATACTCTGTTGGACCCATGTCTTATGCAGGTCTAATTTTTTTTCCTGCTGCTCTAGTTCATCAATTTCTTGTTTCAGGGTCAATAGTCGGTCTGAGATCTCTGTCCCATTTCCTTGATTTACTCTGTAAAACAATAAATAACTTCAATAAAATAATGAAATTCTTTTTGTTAACTTATGAAATACTAGTAGTGAAAGCTATTTGAAAATAAGTAGTTAACCAGTGTTTTCAAACAAATCATGAATTCCATATTTTTTCTTTGCCAATAATATGAATTTTAAACTGAGTTATCACTTCATACAAGTAATTACTATAGGTCAACTGCTTATTACTCTTTTACTTAAGAATTGGAGAGACTGATTTGTAAGTCAGATATGAGAAGCATTTTACATTCACAGAAAAAAAAAATACCAAGAGGAATGGTAATACTGCACAATCAAAGACATTATTTTCAGGGAGAATATGGAGAAATGAAGCACAGGAAAAATGTCAATGGTTTTGATAGTATAATTCCAATGTCCAATTAAGGTTTTTGTATTTGGTTTTAATTTTATATTTAATCATTATTTTAGTACAAAATTAAGCCAAACAGGTTAAAAATATTGCCAGAAATAATCATTCTCTGTTTGTTCATGCAGCACTAAAAATCTTGTCTAGAAGCACTTGTTAGAGAAACCATATGACCTTTGAGAACTGAATTTCAAACATTTCTAAAAAAAAAAAGATGAGAATGTTTTTCTCATGAAAGTATTCATTGATGTAAAGTGGGTCCTCATTTCAAATTTATGTTAAATCTTTAATGTAACCTATGTTCAGAGATTACATTCCAGGTATAACTAAACAGACTCCAGTGTTTCAAAATCTGCCCATACCTGGTACTTTTATACCCGTAACCCGGCTGAAATCATGATTGTACCAGCGAAATATTTGTTGGAGAAAAATTCGATAACTTATTTTATTAAAATCACTTCAACATGGTACCTCCTATTTTTGTAAAAGTACCACTGTTTTCTAATCTTTATGAAAGCCCTGCAGACTCATAGAAAATATAGGAATTATCAGAATTACCTACTACAATTAATGCTACATGTATTTAATTGCTATATTCTGTTCTTGTATCCTTTCAATTTTAATGAAACCGAAGCATCATTAGCAGACTTTGAGGATACATCATAGAAAACTTATTATGGTTGAATTTTCATTCCTCTCTTTCTACTTTGTACAACTATGGGCATCTTTCTATGTTTTTTTTTTTTTTTTTATCTTTTTCAGTGATTTTTTCCTTACAAATCCTTGTTTAAGCCCCTTAGTTGTCAGAAGAACATTTTTTTTTCATTCTTACCCATCTTCTGTTCCTGAATAATTTGCACTAGCACCTCTGCAAAAACAAAAAAAAAATAATTAGGAGTCTTATAGAGATACCCTAACAAGTAACAGTAAACATTTAAAAACTAAATAAAGATTTTAAAATTCTTACACTCATTTATCTGCATATTCTTAAAATTTACAATTAAATAGAAAATGTATTGTTAAATAATAGTTGTGGGATTCATATTTTGTGCAGACATTGCAGCACTACTTCATCACCTTCTTTATAATGTATAAATTAAAATTTCTATGATCAGGGCTCGACATTAACTTTTTTTCCTACTTGTCCATTCGGACAAGTGACCAAGACATTTACTTGTCCGAACTTCAACTTCACTTGTCCGAAAAATTTTCAATAAAGATCTAATACTGTTAACTAAAAAACTAAAAGTCCATTACATGTGCATGATGTTATTTACAAATACAACAAACACATAAAACAAAATTTTATGTAGACTTTCTGTCCTGACAACATAAATGCTGTCAACATAAAAACAGAATCCAAACTTCATCACTTCCATGCCTTTGCAGTAATATGCAATACGTTCTATTTCCATTAGTGAACTCTTCAAAATTAGAGGCGTGTTTGGTCGTCTGACTGGGACCGCATGGCGTGCAATCTCAATCCAATTTTAAATGTTAAATGTATTTGTCATTCCAATTAAAGAATAGAACTAAAAGACATATTTAAGAAAGCGAAAACCCTAAATTTATCATCCATTAATAAAAAATATGACATTTCCGAGGCATGTGTATTGTATTTAGAGGTACCATACGATGAATAGATACATATGATCAACAATAGATATAAGTTGATATCGTTGTCATTCCTACTCTTGATGTATATAAAGTTCACAACAATAAAATTTCTTAGGATTTGTTCATCGACATTCAACATATTGTTTACATGTTTATGTTACGTTTGTCCCAGAAATCCCGCGAGATTTGTACATTTTCTGACTTTTTCACAAAAGAGCGCACTAAGAAGTATAACTCTTCCATAGTGGAAATAGAACATATTAGTGAACTTCGATCCCGATCGAGTGTACTCAATTACATAGCGATCTATATCGGGATCAAAGTTTGGTTTTTATGTACTGTTTCCATCTTAAAGTACCGGCAAACTTTCAACAGTCGTTCTTTTAACTATTTAGAGACTTCTTTACATAAAAATGCACTAGTCCAATCAGACAAGTGCCCAGCAATATTCACTTGTCCGTATTTTTTTTTCACTGGTACCGGACAAGCGTTAATGTTGAGCCCTGATGATGCAAATAAAAAAAAAATAGCTCTGAAAGTCTAAACTCTAAACTCAGAATTACTTTGGGAAGTTCATTCAATGCTTACACTTGTACTAATGTTAGATTATAGAAATATTAAAATTTTTAATTACATGTACTAAGAATAAGTACATGTGTACTTAAAGCTAGTTATCCTTTGAATTTTAAATTATATATATATTTATATCTGTTTGTGTAACAGTATCCAACTTACTTCCACTGGATGCTATTCTTGGATTTCTTTTCAATAAGACCTATGCCTTCCAACACATTTGTTATGTCATATATTCTCCTTTTCTGCCTTACAGCTAGCTGATCAGCAGCCTGTTCAAAATATACACAGTGAACTTAAGATGTACTACTAAACGTAATGTGATGAAATTATTATGCAGGAGAATTATGATGATGGAAATACCATATTCTCCCTATCAAGTGCCCCAGAGGCTTAGAAAATTGCAAGGGGTGGGGAGGGGGGATTAGGTAATCTCTATGAAATTTTGACTCTGAGAAATATTTTAAATAGATATTTTTAAAATAATTCCATACTTAGCATACTCTACTTTTAGTACAGTATTTATTATCATAGTATGGAAAATTTGTTTCAATTGTGAAGAAAAATTATATCTATATAGAAAAAAATTTCAATTCTATAAAAATTATTATATATCTAGACAAACAAGTTCATCTGTTATTCAGTAGAGTGATTATAGTGAATTTATACTACAAATTTACAAAATGGAAAAACTTATATTACTCCAGAAGAGGATAATTACTAGTTATTTTAGAAAAAATATTAATTGACTTATGGATACGAAGCGTCGGGGGGGGGGGGGGGGTCCTTCTTCGAACCTTTTTCCGGAGTGAACAGTCCCACACTTTGGAGGGGGGGGGGGGCTGTCAGTTAACATATTCAAATGACATTAATTTCACGAGCAGGGTGGTTTGAGTGCGTTTATGGTTGCAAAGGATATGTCTTATAATAAGACTTGTACTAGTTTTAAACTTAAGAAAAAATTAATAAACCTGTCCGGTTATCCGTCGACCTGCTAGTGTTACCTTCAAATTTTGAATTTGTAAACAAAGAATGATCGCAAGCATTTTTTCACAGTAAGCATGGATAAAAAACTGACTTAAAATTGTCTTACAACTTTCAGATCTAAAACGCCATCTTTAGCCTCTTGCAATAATGACACAAATTTAGTTGTGAGCAATCCCAAACTTTTCTCGTGTCTACTTGGCGTTGAATTATCCATCGCCATCGCTTTGAAGAGGAATTCTGGGAAAGAACGCGTGCGTGAAAACGGAGTTTACTAATGACCGAAAAAGAAACTGATCAAATAGTTCCCAAAAATGTTATCAAAGAGTGTTGTTTTATATTAGATTATGTACCTTAAACATGTTAAAAAGCAAATATTTTTTTCTTTATAATGTTGACTTGTCATTTTCATTGTTATTATTATTTTATTTATTTATTTTTGGGAGAGCTGCCATCCGGGACTTTTCAAAATGGATGCGACTATAAATCGTTTGTTTGACAGGTCAGGTAGGCCTGATAGAAAAAAGGAAATTATTTTCTTTAACTGTCAAGTGTGGGTTTGAATTTGACAAGGAAAATTTATTTTACAGATATTGACTATTCTATTGTTTTGTTTTACTTTTAAAAGATTTTAAAAAAGACTTCCCTCATTTGTAGGATGAAAGGTTAAGCAAAGCAACATAAATATGACAGGAAAACGATGGGGTCCTGGAAAGGATCTTGGTCACCAAGTGGATAACTCTACTTCAACAATTAAAAAACTGAGTATTCTCTACAGCGACCCTGAATTAAGTGACCTCCGTCTTTGTATTGGGGAGCGGACCTTTCATGCCCATAAACTCATCTTGAGCATCTCCAGTGATGTTTTCAAAACAATGTTAACAAGTCCTACATGGCCTGAGGCCTTTACTTCCCAGATTTCATTGGAGGAGGAGCCAGAGTGCCAGGATGTCTTTGAGGACTTTTTGCAGTACCTGTACACAGGGAGGATTCATCTCAGTCAGACCAGTGTCCTCCCCATCCTCATACTTGCTGACAAGTACAACATCAATGACTTGTCTGATGTCTGCATCAATTACATGAGCAGCCATTGTGTTGCACCACCATCTCAATCTCGAGTGATATCATGGCTTAAGTATGCAATCATGTGTGACCATAAACAGTTGCAGGAAATCTGTGAGGAATATATCACGTGGAATTTTCAGTATGTTATGAACACTCCTGATTTTATGGGTATTTCTTCAGATATGCTGATTAAGTTCTTAAGATCTTCAGACATTATTGTTGATGATGAATACACTTTATATGAGAAGGTCAAACTTTGGTTTGCTACTTACAAAGAATTGAAATCAAACTCAAAGAAACTCAAAAGCAAGCTGAAAAATATCATTAGAAGTGTTGTACCACTGATCAAGTTCCCCATGATACTGCATGAAAGCATGAACTCTCTGGGAGAGGAGAGAGGCTACACAGAAAGTAAGGATGTATCAAAAGATAACTGGAAATTAAAGGTGCAGGAACAAATTCATCACCTATGCACATTACTAAATGAACAAACCAAAGGAGAAAATGTAGGCAGAAAACCAAATCTACATTCTCAGCTTATTTCCAATACAGACTCTGTTCCTGCAGCTCAAGATCAAGAATCTGGTGACATTTCCTCCTTTTCCAGTTTTTCACATCACATGTCCTTTAACCCCAGAATCTACACCAGTGACACCTGGAGCACTGAAATTTTTGTTCCAGATGTTAAGAGCTTGAATCAAGGGGATGTTCTGCGGGCATTTTTCTCCACTCCTATCTCAGGTCCAGGTGGAGACGACTTCTCCATGTGGGATTGGCATGTGGATTTTTATCCAAAAGGAGTTATTTTTAAGCCCTGTGTCATGATTGGTCATTTTTGGAACCATGAGATAGATGAAGTTGTTTATGACACTGTTCGTTTGACTGTGACATCCAACTCCCCTGAGCACCGCCAAGTCCAGATCAGTGTTTTAATATTTGGGCAACAGGAAGGCATTGAATTTGTTGCCAAGTGTGTTACAAAAAGCTGCTACTTTGATAGTGAGCATCTGTCTCACAACTTCAATGATCTCATAGACCTTTCTGATCTTTATCATAGAAAATCTCCTTTTCTATTGGATGCTGAAAGAAATGCTTTAAAAATCAAAATTGTTATTAAGCCTAAAGTATCCTTTTGAAAATTTTACCAGTTTTTTTATTAGTCAGAAGTCAAATTTAACTTTGCTGTACATTTTACAACTTAATAAGAACCGTTGATTGAACCTGATGCAAGGTACCATAAAAGTGGTATTTTTATATATTTAAAACCAAATGTGTCTTGAACTAAAAGTGATAATCAAACTATCAGTTTGTTATTAGATGCAATAATAATCTTTTGTGTAGAGGCCATATGGATATACATGTCACATGTAACAGTAAGTGCTATTTTTTGAGATATTTTTAGTTACATTGTTTTAAAACACTGTGTATCTGGCTTTGGATGTAAGTATTTTTAATATTTAAATATTATCTTCTGCTCTTGATATCATATTGTTTTAAAGTGATTGACAGATGTTAAATAATTAACATTCCACTATGATTTATGAGATCAATTTCTGGGGTGGGGGGTGGGGGAACTAAATCAAATTGACAAAAGTATACACAGTAAATATGCAAAAAATACATTTACTTGTACCGGTAATTTTATTTGCAAAAGTTATCACTTGCACTGTGCAGCATCTCTCAATAATTTTGAAGTTATGGCTGTTCATTTGTGTGTTTTTTTGTTATGAAATGGCCAGGACATAACGATATAGTGTTTCCCCTTTCTGTCCGTCATTTATTTACTGTCATTCCCTCATTGCCATTCTGTCAAATCTAGTTTTCCAGACTTTTTTTACTGTGCTTGTAGGTAATGAGCTAATTTTTTGCATGTCTTTGGACATTGATTACTGACAGTTCAAGTTAGAGTTTCATGTTAATTTACTTATTTGCCCTTAGACTTTGAAAATTTCTAATAGTTCACCATTTTCCAGACTTTTTTAGTTCACACCCTTTGTCAGCATCCATCAGTCCATCTGTCTCTCTTTCCATCCATCTGTAAAATTTTCACATTTTTTACTTCATTTAAGAACCACAGAGTCAAATTTAACCAAGTTGGCACAAAGCATTCTTGAGTTAAGGGGATTGTTCAAAAGAAGGGCCAAGATCAAGAAAATGTAGAAAAGAAAAAAAAAATCTCAAGAACCACTGGGCCAGAAAAGATGAAATGTAATTGAAAGTTTCTTAAGGTATAGTGTAGATCCTAAAATGTTTAAATCATGGCCCCAAGGGGTGGGGTGGGCTACAATAGGGGATAAAAAAAATCTTCCTAATTTAATGCAGATTCTAAATTGTTCAAACAGTGGTCCCAGTGTGGGTAAGGTGGGGCCACAGTAGGGGCTCTAAAGTTTTACACTGAAATATATAGAAGAAAATCTCCAAAAATCTTCTTCTCAAGAACCACTGTATCAGAAAAGATGAAATTTATGTGGAATCATCCAAATATAATGTAGATTCCATGTTGTCCAAATCATGTCCCCCTGGGCCTAGTCGGGGTAGGGAGGGACTACAATAGGCGATCAAAGTTTTACATGGGACTATATGAGAAAAATTTTTGAAAATCTCAAGTTCAACCACAATAGAACCATTAATTGTCAAACATTCCCGAAATATTTTTTTCAAGTTATGGATCCTGGGGCTGAAATCGAGATAAAATTTAAATTAATGCATGTATGTAGGAAAAGAATTTTCCCCTCCATAACTTAACATAATATAAGCCATGTTTATAGAAATATTAAAGCATCCACATGTTGTATGGATTCAAAGACTTTTTTTTGTAGACCATAATATGGGTCACAATTTTTCTTGGGAATGTAACAATCTTTTAAAAATCTTAGGAGGATTGGCAAGACTAAAGTTACTCAAGTGAGTGTTGTGGCTTATGGCCCTCTTTGTTTGCAGTGGTTGTAGATCCTGAGCTGATTTTTGGTATGCTTGTTTATGTTGATGAATTTCATAATAAGTTTTATTTCCATTTTGATTGACCCATTTTAACACAAGTTTTGGCCCTTAGACTTTGAAAACACTGTTTTCTGGATTTTTTATTTTGGCTAAGCTTGTAGATAATGAACTGATATTTGTTATGTCTCTTGATAATGATGATTATAGATTAAGTTTGAGTTTAATATTAAATAACTTATTTTTACAAAAGTAATGCTTTAGACCTTTTTGAAACTTTTTATTATTATTGCTTTGGTCGTAAGTGGTCACCATTTTCATGCAGAATAAGTAGAATGTTGTATAGACAACTGATTCCAAGAAACAGAAGCAGCACTATGATTTTAAGATTTATTTTTGTGCCATTTCCACCCATTGTTATTTAGGATTTCACATTTAAAACTTGTACATGTATTTCAGCAGGGGCATTTGTGTCACACTTACACATTTTTTTTTATTTAAGTTTTGCTAGTCAAAGGCCAAGGCTGCATTCAAAATTGTAGTGGCTACATAGTGCTTTGTTCCCCTTTTCAATTGGAACACAATACAAACATCCTATTATAATGTAGATTCAAGTTTGTTCAAATAATTTCCCTTTGTTATGTTAGACTGCCACAACAGAGAGGTCAAAATTGTACCTAAGAAAATGTATGCATGTATAATATAATGTCTAAAAGTCTGAAAAACAGCAGAGCCATAATTTATCAAGTTAGTACAGAAGATTCTCAATTCATGGGCTGATCTAGATGGGGGTACAGGGGGGTCTGGACCCCTTGAATTTTCAGAGTTATAATTTTAAATTATATGTAAAAGTAATGAAAAAATAAATGACCTTGGCCCCCCTCATCCAGGAAACAGAGACCCCTCTTAAAATGGCAAGGCTCATTTATCTGAAGAAAATTGACTTAGGAAAGTGTTTTCTCCTGACCTCCCCCCCCCCATTTTTACAGTTGATCTGGACCCTCACCCCATCCCATCCCCACCCCAGAAAAAGATCATGGATCTGCCCTTGCAATTAAGTGTCCTTTTAATATTTCAAATCAAGGTACAATGTGTACCAGTGGCCAGGATGGGGCCAAAATTGGGGGACATTTAATTTTTATAAATTTTCATTCATGTACACTCCTGAACAAAAGATGGAATTGAACAACTTTTTTTTTCATTGGTTACAGTTGTTTCTGTAAATATCGGCAAACTTCCTCCTGAACAAGAAAACAGTTTGCTCAAGAAATGCACAACATTTAAAATTTGTGGCAGTGAATGATAAACAAGTGCAAGCTATATTTTATTTGTGTGTGGGTTGTTGCATGCTTAATGTGACTTCCTTGTTATATTTGTGTGGTTGATTATATATACATGTATATATGATTTCATCATTTGCATTTTAGAATTATCAAAAAAAAAATGTGAAAATAAATTACTGGTATACAGACAATGATTATTTTTTTTTCTTTTTTGAAGAGACTTAGTTCTTCACATTAAATTGTGGGGTTTTTTTTTAATTCAGAGAGAGTGCAAGTTTTGCATTCATTTCACTGCAAATATTAAAAGGATCAAAGAACAAGGTATGACAAGTAATGTCGAATGGCCCCTAAATTTGTTGGTGTGACCTGGGATATGTCAAATTATTCTCATGACTTCAAAGAAAATATAGGCCAGAAATCACAACTAACATGCTAAAGAGCAAATAATTAATTTTTACAACAAGTGAATTTGAACTTTGAGATACAGCAGTGAAGAAATGGGAATGTACACACTATAAGTTGACCAGGCATGGTCAAGTGCCTGTTTTTAGCTCTTCTGAGCTCTAGGCTCAAAGGGCTAATTCTGTAGTGGTTTGTGTAAACATTTTTGAATGTAGGCCGTATCTTAAGAACCCTTTGGCCAATTTTCATCAAATTTATCACATAGTAACTTTAGACCAAGGGCTTTCATTTATATTTTTTTAAGAAGGGGGGGGGGGGGTTGACCATTAATAGAGATAATTAGAGAAATTTAAAAACAAAAGGTTGCTTAAAGATCATTTTAAAGAAACAGTGGGCAGATTATCAAAAAAATTATAAAGAATGGGACTCTATGTAGAAATAAATTGTCAAGGCCTCATCCTGAGGCAAAGATCAATTTCTTAAAGTCACTTCAAAGTTGACCTAAAATGATATTTTGTTTGCCCACAATGAGGACTAGGATCATCAAATCTTGTCAGTTGATACATTGTAGGTCCTATGGATGTGCTGACCCAAAAGTATGTCACAGTGACCTACTTTCTAAAATTTTGCTAGCTTTTTATTTTCAAATTAATTAAGATGCATATCTTGGACAGTGTGAAGCTTGGGATCATCAAACCTCGTCAGTTGATGCATTTTTGGGTCTCAAAAGTGTGTTAATTAACAAGTAGGTCACAATGACCTATATGTACTGGATTTTATATAATTTCAAAATAATTTAGCTTAATATTTTGTATACTAAGAGGCTAAGAATTGTCAAACTTTATCAGTTAATGCATCTGGGTCCTCAGTGTGTGTCAACTAAAAGGTCAATCTCCCTTCAGACACCTCTACGATGGGCTCATGTCTATATTTTTGACAAAAGGTTTATAAAAAATATATTCCAAGGATTCTTATAAGTAAAAGTAATAGTTTTAGATATGCTAAGTAAATATCTACTTGAAAAGACAAACATAAGAGTAAGTATCCAATCTAATTTGCGGGCTCATCATAGTGATACAAGTGAGTCAATCACGGAGTTGATTGTATGAGCCGATGGTAGAGAGTGCTAAAATGTAACTTGCAATGACCTGAATTTTACGCCTTATCAATTCAAAATATTTTAACCCATATATTCTGAATACTATGAAATGTAGGATCAGCAAACTAAAATGGTTGATGCATCTTGTGGCCACAGGATATCTCATTCCAAAAGTAAGTCAAAGTGACATACTTTTTGAATTTTATTCGTTATTCATTGTCAACTCTATCACCTATTTAAATGAGTGGGTTATCCACCTGGCGCAGTGGTTAGAGCGTTTGCTCTAGAGTCCCGAGAGTATGGAGTTAATCCTGATGTCACGAGCTTGAATTCCACTGTCGTCACGGTAGCTCAGTCGGTAGAGTGCTTGCTCCGTGATCGGAAGGTCGTGTGTTCGAATCACGGCCGCGACTGACCTAAGTCAAAAAAAAAAAAACAATAGGTAGCTACTGTTCCTTAGCCAGGTTAAGTTGCGGGTCCTTCAGATGAGACCTTAAAAACCGAGGCCCAGTGTCACGGTAGGCATTGGCACGATAAAGAACCCTCACTGCTCAATGGCTCTGAGTGCCGAGTAAAGGTCTAAATTTCAAGCTCTTTTCCGGTATATGGTGACGTCTCTATATGAGTGAAAAATTCTCGAATGGTACGTAAAACAACATACAATGAATCAATCAATCGTATCCCACTGCGGGGCATGCTCATGGGTTGCAGTAGCTGCTGGCATGAAAAAGATCCTTAACTGCTCAAAGGCCGTAAGTGCCGAGTACAGGTCTTATTTTGCAGCCCTTTACGGCAAGTGGTGGCGTCTCATTATGAG